GATTCTAGATTAATATTCTTTTGTCAGGTTTGCGGTTTACAATTCGAGTTAATGTATATGGGAGTGAGAGTGAAGGGTGAGCGAAAGGTGAGAAAAGTTCTGTGTAGTAGGTAGTGTGGTGTGTGTAGAGCGAAAACCGGAGGGGACGGTCCAATAACCCCGAGTACATGAGAGTACGTCCGTAGTTATAGCCAGCGATGAACGAATACAGTTGCCCCAGCATGCCCAATCCGGATATTATGGGCAGCGTAAAGGCTAGGAGACACCGGAGGAAGAAGAAAGCGGGGTGTTCGTGGGGTGTGCCCGAGACGGAAGGTTTCATAGAAACATGGACATACCTGGAGGCTATTCTTGGACGCGGAGGCAGCAGCCTTGTGAGAATTGTTCGTGAACTGGTTATGGATTAAGCTCTTCAAATCAACTGGATATCACGAGGTTGGATGGGTAGGTTCGCTTGGCCTGTGGTCACTAATAAGGTACCTACAGAGTATTTATGTAATATTAAGCGTCGAATCCTCTACGGAGAGTATAAACTGACTCACCTTCCCAGAGTATGGCGTACCCTGATGCACCGAAAACTTTTTGCCCTCCGGCCTAGAGTGTATTACTGTTGGATGGCTAAAATCACGCGAAGACGTAAATAGTGGGGGCAAAATCCGACGTCCAGCCCACTTATCGGAGCCTCCTTTTGAGTACCCTTAACAATAGTTGAGGCAATTCTAGCTGTCATTGCCGGATCATTTCTCAATTCTCAGATATACCGTACCTACCAATACCAAAGCCAAGTCACCGTCCTCGTCACTCCAGTAAGTTGTCGTTCGGTGTAATCAGTGCGATAATCGACAATGTTGCCGGTGCCTTTAGGTCCACTGCCCGACCTTTCACGGAGCTGCCTACTTCGGCCGGTGACCGCCCCAAGAGCCCAAGACCGCACTTCCACCAACCAGACCAGCACACTCCGCAAAGAAAATAATCCATGGAAGTCGAGCACGCAGACATTCGGTAAAAGGTAATTAGGTAGTGAGTCACACTCACATCTTGAGGCCATGGATGATGGTTGAAAGACCGACAAGAGCTTAATTGGAAACACTTAGCATCACCAGTGCAGATGATCGGTAGATTTCTGTCCTTTGTTTTGACTGCGTACCTGCAACTAAGGTGCTCTGCTTAGTGTGTTGTGCGTGATCCATCTATTATATGAGCACCCTCCAGACACCACCCGAAATACCAAGAGAGCTGTGTTGCAATCTTGCGAAAAGAAAAAGACATACTAGCGCAAGTGTGTACCTAGGTAAGGTAGGTGGCAATAGCAAACAACCCGAACAACAATGTGCGTGCCACATCTGCTCTGCCTGCATCCTGGACCTGGATCTTAATTACCATCTATTACGAAGAAGTCGCGCCAAACCATAGTTAGCTGTCCGGCCCCCATCCAGTCCATCCGAGTAATTTTTGTTCCTCCGCAGAAATCACCGTAAACCCCACCTCAAGTGTGAGCACATGCCCGTATGCCCGGCCAACGCCGCGAAGATCGACAACGACAACTGGGAAGTACAGCTTATTTCCGTATCCCGAGGTTGCCTGAAGGCGACTTATGTGTATAGCTAAGGGCTCCATGATTCGGCCGCTCAGCTCTGCTTGCACTCGGCCGCCTCCTGTTTCGGCTTGCCAGGTTCGTCCTATTGTTGCCGAAGTTAGTCAGGGGGTTCATCAGCGAGATCTGTGGGAAGAATTGCATACGTCGTCGTCCGACTCTTCATCGTCGTAACGATCCTCGCTGAGGTCATCCTCATCATCCTCGTCGTCGTACTCGCCCTCCAGCTCGTCGTCGTCCAGCTCCTCGAAAGCCAAGGCTTCTCCGGTGAACCAGTCGATGGCGCGAGGGATAAGCTTCTCCTTGATGTCCTCGCCAAGTTGGTAGTCGAGCTCCAAGCGCTCCTCGATATCCGAAGCAGCATCGTCATCGTCGTCGGTGGGCGCAGCTGGCGGGGAGAAGAAGTTGAAGAAGGACTCGGTGGGGACAGTCTTAGTGACGATACGGGTCTGCTTCGTGGCTACACACAAACGACGAGTTAGCAACATGACAGACGCACGAATTAGGGGAGTGAGGCGAGCACGAAAGGAGCGGCTTACTCTTGTTCCTCTGCTTCTTGCTTTCTACCCGGACGGTGAGGTCCTGGCCTTCCTTCCAGTTGATCTTGTCACCCTCGGCATGGTCGTAGATGAAGTCGCCACCGTAGCCGCTCTCATTCTGGTAGTAGTACGTCTTGGTGATGGTCTTGTTGGTGAAGTAGGGGTTGTCGGAGAATTCAAAGATGAGGCGGAAACCAGGCTTCTCCAGGTATTCCATGCGCACGTCGGTAAGGTGCTTGAGGGCACCCTCATCGCGGTCCGTGACCATCTCGGCGAGCGAAATCTGGTTCTTCATGGCCGACAGCCAGAATTCGGGAATACCGGCGACGTTTTCAGGCACCTGCGACTCGACGGCAGGCTTCTCCGAGGCCTCGGCCTTATCGCCCTCTTCTTCCTTCTCCTCGTCCTCCTCTCCGGCTTTGACTTCGTCTTCGGTAGGCTCAGCGCGGCCGTTGACGATGCTGGTACGCTTCTCGTACAAGGGAGTGAACTTGGCAAAATACTTCTTCTCCAGCTGTAGGACCTCCTCCTGGAACTCCGCCTCGAGCTTGGAATGCTCTTGCTGGATGCCCTTGAGGCCGGCAACACGACGGCGGACCTTGGGAGGTAGGGACTCGATGTAGCCCGAAGAGCGACCGACGAGGGATCCAAGGCGGCCCTGGATCATCTGGACGAGCTTAGGATTCTGAGCAAAGATGGAAGCGGCGGTAGCATGGTTGAGATCCTCTAACACATGTGTTAGTTTTGAACAAATGGATCAAGGGAATTTGAGATGCGACAGTGGTCGTAGAACTCCTCACCTTCCTTGATACTGGCCACACCTGGCTGTTGAGCATGAGACGAGATGGGGGCATTCGAGGCAGGCGTGTTCTGGGGAGTCCTGCATTGATGTTCATGTCAGTATTGGTTTGCATGGCTTTGCATGGGCGTCTGAACTGATAGGCACGAATAAAACAAAAGGGAAAAAAAGACAGTAACAAAGGATGCAAGTAGAACAGGGCGCGCCACGACCCGGGATAGCACTTACGGAGCAGTAGGCATATCAGGCCGCTTGTTTCGGATGGGCTCGGCCATGGTGCTTAATCTGTCAGACTGTTGCACAAGTGATGAACTGTTGAAAAAGAAGGCCTGCGGCGAGAGAAAAAGGGCGGGAGAAATTGGGGAGTTGGTGATGGTTGGAAGGAAGGGAGAGTAGATGACCCAAGCCAGGAAGTTTAAGATGTAGGTCTGACTGAGGTAGTAGATTTTCCCCCAAGTTTGGTGGGGAAGCATTAAAAAAATCGCCTAGGCTGGCTCACCAACCAGTCCCGCCACGGAAGTTGTTGAGCCAGGGTTCGACCTCCTTCCAATCAGTAGCGCCCCGCATTTTACATCTGCTTGGCCCTGGAAGAGCCACGCACCTCTCTCCCACAGGGGCGGTGACACCGCGTTGCACCACCACGCCAGTGTTCTTGCCACCCTGGTCATCCTCCACTGCACGCCCCGCCATATGCACCGGCAACTGCAAGCGGGGTCTATCTGAAAACGGAAAAAGCTCGGATTAAGGCATACAGCGGTACGCCTCAGTGATGGGGCGTCGGATAACACGATAAGATATCGGACGGGACGTGTACCGGGATACGTACTCAGTAGTACCGTGTCCATCCGACGATGATGTAGTGCGGCCAGGGAAAAAAAAAAAACCAGAGGTGCTACGAGCCATCGAGCTTTCAATCTACCATTACATCTGGTTCCGACGCCCCCTACTCGATCCCCTGATTTTTGGACGCTACAAGTCTTTTCAGCCCGGACCGAAGACTGCAGAAGACGATGTTCTCTCTTTGATTTGTCGACGACATTCGAGCTGCTATCGCATACACACTCATCTACACTTCACGCAAGCAGATTACCAGTACCAGTTCCCTGTCCGCACCGCCTACCATGACCACACAGTGTTTCTATAGAACCGCATAGGACTCTTGTGTTTGTGATTTGATTATCATTACAAGGGTCGAAAATGGAGTACAGGAGGCCGTCGCACTCCGTCGAGGGAGCTCGTCGCTCGATGTCGAGGAGTCGCTCCCTCCATCGAAGGGACTCAATTCAGAGCAACTCGAGTGTATACGAGGATGTGGAAATGGCCCAGGACGAGGTTTGTCTTTTTCTCTTTCTACAGCGTTCAATTGATCCTTTTAAAGTATTCTGACCTGTCTGCCCTGCGCTAGCTTTATGACGGTCCCATTGCCGAGAGCCTACCAACCAGCGTTTCCGCCTTCTCCCACCGCCGCCCCAGAGCAGACTCGACGACAAGCTTTACCTTTCACCAAGTCGATCCCGAGTTGGACTACGAGGAAGAGGACACGAGTGCAGTATCCGACGACCTAGAATCTGGTGATTTTCGGTTTGGCGAAGAGGACGACGACTCGACTGATTTCCATGACGGGAGACCCAACGGAGAATATGTCCTACATCGCCGCTCCTCAACCCTGTCCAGGTCATCTGTTCACGACCGACTGCTGCGGACTGAGAGTATCAAGACATCCGACAGCCGGGCCGGACAAGGACGCCACAGCCAAACAGTATACATGATCAACGAGGACCTGACCATTGCCATTGCTGGGTTCCGCACTAGCCAGATCAGATTTGCGGCCTATGTATTCTTGTGTGTTTGCACCCTTGGACTCGGTTGGCTCCTCCTGAGGTGGCTCCCCAGATGGTATGTGCGGGTCTTAGGACGCGCATGTCCTTTGAGCGACTGCGACTGGGTTGTTATCGAGGTACGTTGGCAAGACTGTCTCTGCGTTGTTTGCAATCTGTTGACACTTAATAGAACCAATGGGGTGAAGTCACAATCATGAACGTTGAGAAGAAGCTATATGGCAGACCAATGTCTACCGTGTTCGGCACCACCGAGAAACAGTACTTGCTGGATGATGATCACGACCCCGTCATCACCGAACTGAGAATGCTCAATTACCGCTACGTCCGCTTGTTCTTCAACCAACAGAAGGATAAATTCATTCTCTTCGCTGGCTGGAAGGACCCTAACTGGACTGATATCCGGGCTGTTCGCTCGGGTCTCGATATCGACGAGAAGCACGTGCGGGAAGTTGTTTTTGGTAACAACGACATTGACATTGAGCAAAAGTCCATACCACAACTCCTGGTTGACGAGGTAATCTCCGGCCTGCTGATCGGACGAGAGCTTTTGCAGTGCTAACTTGGCACAGGTGTTCCATCCGTTTTATGTTTTCCAGATCGCTAGTCTTCTTCTCTGGTCTTTCGACGAATATTACTACTATGCTTTTGCTATCTTTGTCATGTCGTTTGGCAGCATTACAAGCACCCTTGTCGAAACTCGAGCAGTATGATCTGATCTCCCACACCCTTTGACGTATGTACGCATTATTCATACTAACGTTACTGCAGACGATGCGTCGATTGCGCGAAATATCACGATTCGAGTGCGATGTTAGAGTTCTCCGGAATGGATTCTGTAGGTTAATTGATATGTTTACCTTTTGGCATTATTGCTGACAGCTATCGAAGGGCGTTATGTGCCCTCCACCGAGCTGGTCCCCGGGGACGTGTATGAAGTCAGCGATCCACACCTAACCCAGTTTCCCAGTGACGGCTTGCTTCTCAGCGGAGACTGCATCGTCAATGAGAGCATGCTCACCGGTAGGTTCAAGCAAATAAACGGTGGCAAGCCAACCATGTTCTGACATGTTTTTCAGGGGAGTCTGTACCTGTATCCAAGTCGCCTGCTACAGACGAGACTCTACATAAAATCAACCTAGGTGCCCCGACAGTCTCAGCCGAGACGGCAAAGCACTTCCTTTTCTGCGGGACGAAAATCATTCGCGCAAGACGGCCGCAAGATGACCAAGGTGAGGAGGCTGCGGCTCTGGCCATCGTCGTCCGAACTGGCTTCAGCACGACCAAAGGATCACTGGTCCGGTCTATGCTATTTCCCAAACCATCTGGTTTCAAGTTCTACCGCGATTCTTTCCGCTACGTCGGGGTGATGGCCCTAGTTGCGATTCTGGGATTTATCGTGTCGTTGGTAAACTTCATACGCCTGGATCTCGCCTGGCATCTCATCGTTGTGCGGGCACTAGGTCAGAACACCCCTCTGATTATCATCTTTCACTTTGCCCAAAATATTGACGAGGCACAGATGTCATTACAATTGCCGTCCCCCCGGCTTTGCCTGCGACTCTCAGCATAGGAACCAGCTTCGCACTTTCGCGACTCAAAAAGAAGCAGATCTTCTGTATCAGTCCGCAGAGAGTTAACGTTGGCGGTAAACTTGATATCATGTGCTTCGACAAGACTGGTACCCTGACGGAGGATGGCCTGGACATACTTGGTGTCCGAGTGGCATCTGGAGGGCGTTTTCACGACATCATAGAAGACGCTTCATCGCTATACCGGGCTGTGCATGAGAGCCTGCAGAGCAACTTTGCAGCAGCTTTATACACGATGGCCACTTGTCATTCCCTGCGTTCGGTGGACAACGAGCATGTTGGCGATCCACTTGAGCTCAAGATGGTCGAGTTTAGCGGTTGGTCCTTCGAAGAACGAGATCACACTGCAATCGGCCAAGATGGAGATGACCAGGGCGGACTTTCGCCGTCCGTTGCCCGACCTCCCACGGAGTTTGTTGAGTATCTCCGTGGGGACGAACCAACAAATGCGTCAAGAGTGCGTCGTTCCACTCCCCGCGCGTCGCCTGCCTACCAGGCAGAGTCCCGGTTTCATATGGCGTTTGAAATATTAACATATGTATGAATAGAATCCCATCGAGCTCGGCGTCTTGCGAAGTTTCGAATTCGTCTCTCAGTTGCGGAGGGCGAGTGTGGTAGTCCGACAGTTTGGTCAGCAAGGAGGAGATATCTATGTCAAAGGAGCCCCCGAGAGCATGCGGGATATCTGCCGCACGGAGACTTGTGAGCCTGCGAGACTCTTCCATTCAATCCCGTTTTGCTAACTTTCAATCGAAGTCCCGACCGACTACGAAGAGCAACTATCATATTACACCCACAAGGGATACCGTGTCATTGCGTGCGCAACGCGTCACATTCCAAAACTAAACTGGGTGAAAGTACAGAAGATGAAGCGTGAAGAGGTCGAGTCTGGCCTGGATTTTGTTGGCTTCATCATTTTCGAGAACAAGCTCAAGCCCACGACCACTGGTGTGCTTCAAGAGCTCCACGACTCCAACATTGGGGTAGTCATGTGTACCGGAGATAACATCCTGACTGCCATCAGTGTCGGAAGGGAGTGTCGCTTGATCAACCCGACGGCCCATTGCTTCGTGCCTCGTTTTGTAGAGGGTAAGTTGATTCTGTTTTCTCTCTTGGTCCTCGAGCCCATACTAACAACAGCTTCAGACGAACACGGCGACGGGGAGGTCCGGTTAGTCTGGGAAAGCATAGACAACGGCGCTTTCAGATTAGACGAGAAGACGTTATTAGTCAGTTTACGACCCTTTCCATCAGGTTGAGTCCTATGCGCTGACGTTCTTCGACAGCCGCTCCCCCCTACGGCCGATGCCGATGCCTCGCTACCCTACGACATCAGCAACCTACGGAATTATTCCGTTGCCGTCAGCGGAGATGCATTCCGCTGGATGGTGGACTACGCAGAGCCCGAGGTTTTACACAGGGTCAGGCGAATTCCCAAGTTAGCCCTCTGGGGCAACATAGTCTTGCTAACATGAAATATGCGTACAGATGCTGGTGTGCGGCAAGATTTATGCGCGGATGTCTCCCGATGAAAAACATGCCTTGGTGGAGAAACTACAGAGCATAGACTATTGCGTGGGCTTCTGTGGTGACGGCGCGAACGACTGCGGAGCTCTCAAAGCTGCGGACGTTGGAATTTCGCTGTCCGAAGCTGAAGCATCCGTGGCAGCCCCTTTCACTAGCCGCAACTTCGACATTTCATGTTGCCCTGAAGTTATACGGTGAGTTCATGATAATGACTCCTTTGCGCTGTACTTGAGTTGCTAAACGCGATCGTTTCAGGGAGGGCCGCGCCGCTCTAGTCACCAGCTTCAGCTGCTTCAAGTATATGAGTCTCTACTCCGCGATCCAGTTTACGTCGGTCAGCTTTCTCTATACTAGAGCGTCCAACCTTGGCGACTTCCAGGTACGGTGTCAATATTCTTGCCCTTGGGGTTCAGGAGAGCGTGACAGGCGGCGCTAACACATTGACCGTAGTTCCTCTTTATTGACCTTCTTCTGATCTTACCCATCGCTATATTCAGTGGGTGCCATTCCTGCCAGCACCGAGCGTATCTTTATACTGACAGCGTGTGATTTAGTGAGTTGGTCAGGACCGTTTCCCGTGCTGTTCCGGAAGGGGCCAACAGCGAGACTCGTCTCTCGCAAGGTTCTTATACCGCTCCTTGGCCATATGGTGATCTGCATTGCCGTTCAGGCAATTGTCTATATCGCAGTGAAAAGGCAGCCTTGGTAAGCATGCTGCTTGTGCGTTTCAAGATTCTTGAAGGAGTGATCGGCTAACATAACTGGCTAGGTATATACCGCCCAAGGTCGGCCATGATAAGTCGAACATTAAGAATTCGCAGAACACAGTCCTCTTTTTGGTGTCGTGTTTCGAGTACATTCTTGCAGGAGTCGTTCTCAATGCAGGCCACCCCTTCCGACAGAAGGTAGTGCGCAATTGTAAGTTGTCCGGTCCCTTCACAGAAGCCAGGCGTAGGGTGAGCTGCGATGCTGATATTGAGTTTACAGGGCCTTTCATGGCAGCAGTGGGCCTCACTCTGCTGGGGACATTGTACATGATCCTAGCTCCGGCAAAATGGGTGCAGCGTTTGATGCAACTCACAAAGACACCCTGGGATTTCAAGCTCTTCATGATCGCTCTTGGCGGGATTTATCTTGTTGTCGCATGGTCGTCGGAAAAGTTCATCTTCCCTCGGCTGGCACGGTTGGCGGGGCATTTCAAAGAGACAATGTTGAGGCGGCCCAAACAGCGAAAGACGTACAAGTTGATTCAGGAGAAGATGCGTCTATAGAAGCATTCTTAGAGCTGTACGAAAGCATATCGCAGCGTGGTCTGGCAATGGCGTTCGGGCGCTTCAAGGCAGGCTCAGGGGTAGGTAGAGATGAGGGTTGAATGTGCGATTTTGATTAAGGTGGTAAGGATTGCGGCTCCATGATGGATCTGGATGATACACAGTTGTCAGTTTATTCCAAACATGGCGATGAATTCAGGAGCCTCGAATTGAGAAGCGCGGCACTATCACTCTAACTTGTGAATACCATCCTCAAGATGCATGTCCCAGAAAGGGGACATGGCTCCAGTACCTTATAGGGTACCCATCATCCGTCTTTACATATCTTTGCATACGTAACATGTTACAAGTAGACTGTAACAGCAAGCGTAGAGCATGAATGTCACAGGAATCGAAACGTCAGGAAATTGTGCCTTCTGAAAGGACTCGGTCGAGAGGGTTACAGTCGATAGGTGGTGTATGTACAAATGAACTGGCCATGAATTGATGGAGACACCGGGGAAGCCCTAGTGGCCACCTGAGCCCAGCGTCCCAAAATTCCTTCCCCATCATTTCAACCCCCGCTATGAAGGCCAATTCGTATCTTTGAGTTCCGGCTGAATGTTCGAAATCAATGTTCCCAGGGGTGTTTCCAGCCCAAGAGAACGGGACCTGAAAAGACGAGTCAGCAAATATATCTCCCAGTATAAGGGCCGCGTTTCGAAAAGGGAGAGTCGTACCGTCCTTCTTTGCCCGGTACATCAACTATCCCGCAACTGGTCAGTACGAAGAAAGCAATACTCTGAAGTCCATGAGGCGAGATGGAACATACGAAGAACCACATTCCAGCGCCGAGGGCTGTTCCAAGAAAACGATGAACGCGAATAGGAGGAATGCCTCCTGGCCTCGGGGCGCCTCCAGCCATGTTGATGGTGTGTTGTGGGATGTGTCGAACGATCGGAAATAGAGGGAGGACACGACGGGTTGTCTCAGCACGAGGCGGACGCTGCGACACAGACAATTAGATGAAGCACTTGTATCAATTGACCAGCAGAAATTCTTACCTTTGAGTTGGAAGCAGTGTTCGTCTTGATTGACCTGCTGGTCGATTGTTCGGGAGGACGTCGCGGGAGTGATGCTTCGTCTGAATCACAAACAAGAACGGGTTCGTGGTTCGAATCGGCGGATTATGTAATACGAGGCTGAGAAACCCGAGGTCAAGGTACTCCGTACAGAGTACATCATTCCAAAGCTGTATGCTTATCTTATCATCACGAGGTTAGGTACCTAGGTACCTTATCCGTTCGGGAAGGCCTTGATAACCCTCTCGACTCTCAGTTGCTGGTGGGGAGCTCCTGTGTCCCCCGATCCCGCCCCCCACCCCCGGTTCCCGGTACCTCTGCTGATCGGCGATTACTACTCCGTACTCCGTACAAGCCACCTGTACCTTTCCCCGTCAGCAACATTGCCTTACTGTCGCCTTAGCCTGAATGACGTTCTCCTTCTTTACATCTCAAGGAGTTAACTCGTCGATTCTTAGACGTGTATCTTTACTCTCTATTGTTCTCTGAACTTCTATTATAAACTCTACCTCTTTGTCAAGACATCGCATATCTTCTTCTCCTTCCAAACTCGCCATCTCATCTTGCCTGTCTGCGTCTGGCATTCGTAGATCCCACCTGCCTGGTATCCCAATACTATGGCCACTCCAAAGTTCAACTCCAAGTCACCAACAATAAGACGCATACGTAGGTGGCTTCTTGCTCTCTCCTTGTCTCCCTGTTGTCTATTCGAAATGCAGCCTCTAATCGCAGTCCTCTATATGCGCAGTGAAAGAAGCCGCCGAGATCTCCAATTCCCCATCGCCGGACTACACTGCAACTCCGTTGGAGTCAGATCTATTTGAGTGGCACTTTACCTTTCGTGGGGTTCCCAATTCCTCCTACGCCGACGGCATCTACCACGGTCGCATCATCCTACCTCCCACCTACCCCCTCCGCCCGCCCAGCTTCCGCTTCTCCACCCCGAGCGGTCGGTTCGAAGTCAACCGCGAAATATGTCTCAGTATCAGCGGCCATCATGAAGAGACCTGGCAGCCGGCATGGGGTGTCCGAACGGCCCTCGTCGCGTAAGCCATCCACATTTCAAAAGAAAAGACCTCTGTTTGCGTCACGCGCGAAAGAGTGGCCGGCGTGTGCGCTAACTCGATAACAGCCTCCGCACCTTCATGGAGACCGATCCAAGTGGTCAGCTAGGTGGCCTCGAAACGTCTGACGCCGTGCGGAGACGTCACGCCACCGCCTCGCGGAACTTCAAATGCACGACATGCGGCAAGACGAACCTTGAAATCATCCAAGAATGCGAGGAGGCCGCTAAGGCTCTTGCCGAATCTTCCGAAGCTCCTGCGACAGGCGAGAAGGTGGAGGTACCGGCTGAACTGAAGATGGGTTGGACGGACCAGCTGGGGCAGAACTCCGAGAAAGCGCCGGATGGGAACGCGACGGCACAGCCGTCGTCGTCGTCGTCGTCGTCTAAGGAGGCCGCAGAGGATACAGAGACCGCCGAGCTGGCCGAAGGATTCGTGTCCACCGGTAACGCACCCGCGGCCCCGATCCCAGATTCGGCTCCGGTTCCCGCCGCCCAACCAGCACAGGAAGTCCCGGCTCCGACTCCGACTGTACCTATGCCGGTAGCACCGAATACTCACCCGGCTCCTCCAGTCCAGAGACCCGCGACAGAGGCTGTCCCTGTGTGGGTTGACCGCCTTATAGTCATCCTCGTGGTCCTGCTTGCAGCGTTAATCGCCCGGCTGCTGATGCACGAGTAGGTGGAGCTTGACTGCACCACATTTTACGGAGGGAATGATGGAGAATCCAGTTAGACTGTTTGTTCACTCTTGCTCGTTTTCAGTTGTTTTGGGTTATCGGAGTTCATGGCGAAGCATTAACGATTCAATACCCAGTCATCAACTTGACACATTCGCTCTCTATGTAGAGAAAACAAACTCGTCGGTGAACCACGGTGTCCATAGGTGGCTCGCTATGTGCGCTCACGCTCAGTTAGGATGTCAAGTCCTAGATGAATAAAACTTCAACCCCCCAGTGTTTACAAAGAGCGCCAGGGTATCTTATCCAACAAGCGCCACATCCAACTGACTGTCGAACTATTGAGGGGTCCTCCGTCCATTAACCTGTCTCACAAGCCCATACTGTAGACCACTCTGTGCCCCGTCGGCCATTCTCTCTCCCGTCGCCTGTCATCACTCCCCTCCCCCGCTCTCAATCTCACTATCATCCAACTCGCTCTCTTCACTCTCCTGCTCGTCGACCTCCTTGCTAATCCCGCCCTTCCTGGCCATCTCAACCTGCCTGCCAACGACAAGCCACCACCACTCGGCCGCCGTATAGCTGCCGGACCCCGTCCTCTCAAATACCTCATGCTGCAACCCCCAGTCAAGGGCCATTTGAACCTCGAACTCCTCAAGATATGGTCGCAGCGCAAATACCGCGCCGCCAATGTCCAGCGGGCCGCGCATAGCGACCGCGAAAGTGACGGCACCGAGGACCTGCGCCCAGCGCTCCCACTTCATGTGCTCGAGGAAGTCGCACCAAATGGGGATGGCTCCGTCGCGGTTCTTCAGGGGTGGGTGGTTCACTTCGGCCTCCCGGAGGGGGGCGAGGTCTTCGTCATAGAGGTACGTAGCGGCCGGGCTGATCTCGAGGCCGAAGTTGTAGAATGATTTGGGGAACTTGCGGCTCTCGTACACGCCGGGCTTGAACCCGAGGGGGATGTGAGGTACGTCGACGGGGGTGATGATCACACGCCCGTGGGCTTGGAGGTTGATCATGGCCATGACCTCGCCGTCTTTCAGAACGTACGGGATTCGTACATTTTCGTTCCGACGAAACTTGGCGTCCAGCTTGGCTTTGAAGTTGGCCGCTTCCATGAACTTCTGCACGTTGCTCATCTTCAGCAATCTGGGAAGATACACCTCGGTCAGCCGGTATGGACGGTGCTCGCTCTTGCTTTTCTTCGTGCGCGTGATGATGCTCTGATATTGCAGCGCGGCTACGGCTCTTTCGAGGAGGCTGTTGTTGTATTCCTCGCCTCGGTCCGTGACTCCGGCCATCTTGTCTCTCGTTTCGTCTGCCCGGCCCACTGGTGTGTAGCAGAGGGCACGCACCCAGGACTTCGCGCGGACCAATTCGTCATCGCATTCCGGCCCTGCTTTTTGTGGTTCGTCGACGCACATGACGGCCGGCTTTGAGGTCAACGCCTCCAGCCTGCTGAAAAGGGACGACGTGGCACTGTAATACTCTTCTTGCCAGTCGTTGGGGTCCGCCATGGTAGAATCGAGGGAATAGTACCGAATCAGCTCCTCCCGAGTCGGGGGGAGCGAAATGGTGTCATCAACGAGGGCGGCCGTCCAACGGATCAGGCTGGCCCAGTCATAATCCTCGTAGTCGTCGAAGTTGATGGGAGCTATTTCGCCCCTTTCGTAGGCTGGGATGAAACGTCTCTGGAAGCGCTCGGTGATCTGACGAAGCGAGGCCGGTCGATCCTTACGTGCTTTGCTCCAGAACTTGCGCAAGAAAGCAAGAGACTTTTGGGGGAACAGCTTCATCAACAATCCCCATTCGATGTACTTGTCGGCACCGCCGAGCAGCGTCCTCGTTGCGACGAAAGCTGCGAGGAGCAAAACGTCGTCCTCCCCATCAAGCACCTGATCGGACAAGAGAACATCAGCCTCGGTGGGCAGACTCCGTTTCCAAGACATCAACTTCCTCGTCGTCAGGTCAATCTGTGGTACGAGGTCGCTCGGCGGGGGAGACTGCGAGCCCGTCGAGTCCAACCTGCGCCGCTTCGGGGGTTTCCTGTTAATCTTGGGTCCAGGACGTCTCTTGTCGACTGACGGGACACGATGACGCTCGGCGGTGTCATCCTCCAGGTTCAGGTGGTTTTCAGGGTGCCATTCGAGAGCTTGGGGTTGCCACTCGACTGGCCGCTGCATTTCATGATTGATAAAGAAGTACTCTGGCGCGATAGTCCCGAGCATAATGAGACGCTTGGTGTCCGGACTGTGCTCCCACCTTCTACAAGCCTTCACCTGATTTTCGAAGGCGACGTCGGCAGCATAAAGATCTCCATCTACAGGGCGATGGCGGAAGGGAGCGATATCCGCCAAGCTCTTCGGTAGACGGCTTTTGAGAAACCACTGTGGGCCAGGCATCCAGCCCTTAGTGGTCAAGCTCTCGATACGTTCATAGAACTTCAGGGACGGCCGCGGCCACCGTCCCGATTTGCCCTGGATGGCGTGTATTGCGGCAAAGACTGGCATACTAGACGCCTGCGACTCCTCGTGATTGTGATTCTTCTGGGGGGTGTCAGACGAGGACGGAAGAGAAGGAGAAGGAAGTGACGGTATCGGGGGAGAGACCTGGAGCCCATCTCCCAGGTCACTCTCTTCCCCTTCCGACGAGGATTCCTCTGGTCCTCCGTCCCCCAAAAACTGATTAGGTTCCAGAAACGTGAGCTTCAAGAACGTGTTCGTCGTTTCCTGTCGTGGTAATGAAGGCTTTTGGTTTGCCCCGTATTTAGGCTCCCCTACAAGCACCCTAAAGACGTCACGTCGCCTGTCTTGCTCTCTAGGTGTATTAGGAGTCTCTTGTCTTGGCCGTTTGCTCGGGGACATGACCTCAGGTCCCACAACGCCTGGCTTCCTCTTGGCAACTCTTCTTTTGGCGTAGAACGGAGCATCCAGGACTTCAATGTCTCTCGTAGTTCTCTGCCGGCCGGGCCGCGCATGTTTATCGTCCAGGTCGTCGTAGAAGTTGTCGCCGTCCGGCATCCCAGACAAGGGAACGAAACCTGGCGGGACATAGGTTTGTGGGTATTGAGCGATGATCCGCTCTTTGATTGCGACAGCAGGAGGTGAAAGGGGGTCAATGCCGGGCGTCAAAAGAACGTAGCAGTATTTGAACATGCCTTTCGAGTCCCGAAAAGCGTGAGTGACTCTGGTGATTTGCTTCCGCTCGACAAGTCTGGAGACGACGAGTTGCGAGCTGCTATAACTTGGGTGCGGCTTGTCGGGGAAGGCTGTTTCCCAGATAGAGAGTATGGCAACCCAAATGGAGCGACCTCCGGGAAACACGCCTTGGTTTGCATATATCAGATACAAGACGATCTCGGCCACACAGTGGGGTTGGGAATTCCGGCGATAGCCATGTGTATCCATCTGCTCATAAGGTTGCGACATCTCGAAACCAGGGACAGAGATATAACTCGGTTGTTCAGCATAGAGCTCCGGCCTCGGCTGCAAGTCTTCGGGTTGGGAAAACGACCATGCACTATCTGTCGTCTTGGGCACAGGTGTAGAAGGCTGAGGAGCTCCAGTCACTGAAGTCAAGTCCGCTTCATTGGGAGTCAAATGTCGCCTGTGCGTAAAATCGGTGTCCCGCGATATGTCTCCGCGCAAATCTGCCCGTACAGACTTCAGCAGTGGCCGCCTCTGCCCCAGCAATACGTCCTTGGCCAATGCAGTCGACGAAGAGATCAGCCCGCCGGCGGAACACTCAATTTCAAGTGAGGGTTCTGGCCCTTCTTGCTTGGCAGGTTCGTCTGAAATTCCGGGGCCATCCTTGCCAATAACGGACGACGTTTTGGCTTTAGTGACCTCGGCATATCGACGGTGTGTCACCCTTGCGATCAAAGGCGCGTCGTGGACGCTGTGTGGTACCCTCGTGAGCTGCTTGGTCGTCTTAACAGACGCTTCAGTAGTATCCAGAGCGGCTCTCTTTGCAGCTGCTCGAACAGGTCGTCTCGGAGTAAGTTCAGCCAGGGGCATCTCGGAAGCATTGGGAGGCGGTGGAGGTGGAGGTGGAGGTGGAGAAGGACTTGGCCTTCTTCGTCGCGACGTCTTCGGGGGTGGTGGAACATAAGACGAGTTGCAGGTCGAGGAGGATTTCTCCAAGTGATACTTCAGACCATTGTCGTTCTTCCAGACTCCTCCGCATTTTTCACACTTGAACACGCCAGGCTTGGCTCCTTTCTTATTGCTGGCTTTTGCTTCTGCTTTGCCTTTGCTGTCCGCTTTTCTTGGACGTCCTCGCCGGGCGGGTGCCGGGATAGGGGGTAAAGGGGACGAAGCTTCTTGTGAGTTTTCGGTCGCGACAGTCACCTCCTCCGTGTCGATGTTTTGTGGCGCTGAACCAGGGGTTTCTACTGTGGCGTTTTTCTGTTGGCCGACTGTCTCATCTCTCTCTTGTGCAGTCACCTCTGGGCCGTTAGCCTCATCAACAGCAGTTGCGTTCCCAGAAGGAGGGATGCGTGAAGGCTCAAGAATATATGAAAGCCGTGCAGAGTTGATCTTGAACGTAACAATGAGCGTCTTGGGGCGTCGTTTATCATGATTGCGCTCTTCTTGCTCTTCGCCACGTTCCAAGACCACAAGAGGTTGCGCCTCACTCGCATCACCCGTGACTGCCGGCTGTGCTTCATTTTCCTCTTGATTACCGTCAGATACAACGCCCTGGGCTCCATCTACCCGTGCAATCGCATCCTTCATGATCCTGATAGTATGAGCCTCTCGTCTTGTGTATTCCCGAGGGCGCTTGATCCCGGCGTCCAGGGATATTGCCGTCAGACTGAGTGCGTCTTCGATCAATTCCGTTTGGAGGAGCGGCCGAAAGTGCTCCTCCGAATTCCGGCCAGCATCGTTCGATATAGCGTCATCGCCTGCGGCAGGTGTCGCCAATGCCTGCTCCGGCTGGGCCTGGTCAGTGGCAGCAGCAATGGAAAGGATGCTTCCTGACTTTGTAAGATGTGGCATGGAGTAGAAATAGATCATCGCTTTTTCCACTCGCTCAAGCCGGCTGGCCACTTGAAAATGGGCAAGATGCGGAGGTTGCAGGGAAGGTGAAGCAAGCGTGGTCGTGATAGCTGATGTAAACCGACAAAATGGCGGTCCGATGGTGCCCTCGCTAATCATCCGGTTTGCCACCCCTTTGACCCCTTTGCCCCGGATCACGTCCATCATGGCAACTAAAAGGGGTTTCTCGGGACTCCAAGCGTCTTTGGGAGCGATGGCACCCTGTCCTCGTCTAGTTTTACCCCGGCCCCCGGAATTTGATGAACTTGTTCCGCCCGCACGAGACATGGCTGCGATTTGCCGCTGGTATGGATCGGGTGCCTCGCCTCCGGGCATGACTTGAGCCGTTTTTTTGCCGGTTCTGAGGTAAATCTCCCAATCTTCTGGGGTAAAATCGCGTACATACTTCAGGCAATCCTTGAAAAGCCTGTCTCCGAGTGTGGCGGCGACAAACTGAACGATGCCTCTCCGCACCATCCAGCGACACAGCTTGGCCTGATACTTCATCTGCCATGGGAGGCCCTCGATTCCGAGCTTCCGCCGCAAATCCTGGTAGCGGATGACTTTCCACTCCTTGATAACCTCTATGCTCGTCCTCGCAAACGCGTGAGTGTCAATGGATTTTCCTGTCCAGCGGCCGCACCAAGAGACGGGGTTCATGTCGTGCGTGATAGGTCCGAAAACTAAACGGGTGCTAACGGCTTCGCCGTCGACAACCTTGGTTGGATCAGGGGGCAGCTTCGGTGCAAAGCGGCGGAGCCATAACTTGCTCGTCTTGATGCCCCTGACGAGCGTCGTGCGCTTCAGGATGTAGCCCTTTTGAGCAAGAGCATCGGTTCTCTTGGGGAGTGACCTCTTGTCCTGGCCCACAAGTCGGCATAGATCACTCTGCAGAATTCCCTCGTGCTTAGTGCTGGCGATGCCCACCAGAGCCGCCCATTCAAACTTGGATATGCGCTTGAAATCAGCGGGGTGGCCGGCAATAGAGTCCCACATTCGCGCTTCGCTGGCGTACAGTCTCGGGCGCTTTGGTGTTTCTGTTTCTTGGGGCGTGCTGGGGTCGGAACCTTCGCTTTGATTACCGTGCTGCCCCTGATGACCGGGCAAACTGGAGAATGCCAGATCAGGACCGGGATTAGCGGTAGCAGACTCTGCCGAGGAGGAGGATACATTCTCGGGTAGTGCAAGAATTTCGGCAAGGGTGAGGTGATTCCATCGTCGCTCGGGGCCGACAGAGATATCATCTCGCACCCTGAGCCAATCCCAAACAGCTGAACATAAGGAGTGCTCGGGACCGCTGGCTACATCCTCAACGGTTATTATGACGGCCTTGTCCGGGTCCTGACCGTCATGGCTGAGGCTCCGGACCTTGGTCAACACATACGAAACGGAGCAACCTGAGACCGTGTGTTAGCCTGTCGAATGATCAAAAAAGAGAAATAGAAGAAAGAAATAAAGATAAAAATTCGCGATGCATGAATATAAAGACTGGCAGTAAAGGTACTATCTTGACTAAGGTAGTACCAGGGCGTCTTCCAGGGGTGAAGCTCGAAGCCTCAGATGGTCCAAGTATGGAGATCAACTCACCTAGCTCGCCGTGGCAAGAAATGTCACGAATAAGATAGCTAATCAATCCTTCCAGGCTTATAGACATGATACAGAGCTTCTACCTTGCCCGCATACTGGTTGTTTTGCAAGGGAAAATCAAATATAGGGAGCTGCGTAATGATGGTGAATCGAACCGATGACATTAAGCAAGAAACGCGACGTCGCTTTGGTTGGAGTGAAGTGTTTTCGGGGAGGGCTTGGCAAAAGTCGAGGGTTGAAGGTACGTACCAATATTTCAATAAAAGGTACGGTAAGGTAAGGTAGTGTAAAGTAGAAAAGAATGGGGCGCACAATCGCGATAAGAGAACTGATGATTAATCGGATAACCGCAGTTTACTTTAAGGTACCCAACGAAGTACCCTCGTACGGAAACGGCATGCAAAAACTGACGAAAGGTATCCGCAGGGTCCATCTACAGGTCCGGACAAGTACGAACCAGTATTGAATATGCTTTTGCACACTTGATCTTCAATTTTTCATACATGATATGTTGTTCGCAAAATACTTTGATTTTGAGCGGGTGCTGGCTTCGTAACTTGTCGCTTCGATTCCTGTTCGATATGCCACTGAATCCGGTCCAGCAGTACGGAGGACACCCCCGAAGCTCCAATCATACCATGTAGCCACGTAGGAGATTCCCACAGCACGAGTCCGTAAGATGGTCTTAATACCGTGCAACAAGTACGGCCTCCTATATTCTTTGAATATTTTGATCACAATACAGTCCGGGCCCGCTTCTCGTCTCTCGCCTTCCGATAAGATTCCACCACTTCAGTGCGGATGGTCTGCAACTCCTCGCGCCTCCTCAAGCTGCCAGAAGCCTTGGGGACGTTCTCGACGTCGACAGCGGCACCGCGGACTTTAAAAACTGCACGGATGTTCTTGGGCAAGGTGGGCGGAGCTTTCGCGACGTCATGGAGACTCGGCTTCGCTTCCTTCGCCTTCCTCTGCAGCTGCTCCCACAAGTCCTCCTCGTCGGGCGCATTGGCTTTGCCTTTCTTCTTCTTCTTTTTCTTTTTGCCTCCTTCCTCTGTCGCGTCGTCGTAATGCGTCGGCCACTCGGTGGTCAGGGTCCCGTTAGCCAAGTCCTGGTCCAGCTGGCGTTCGGCTTCCTCCTCCAGGGCCTCCTCGCGCTTTTCCTTGATTCGCTTGTCTTCCTCCCGCCATTGTTCGTAGAGCTTGTGCATCTTCCTCTCCTTCTTGGTGCGGCGCACTTTGAGACCCAGGGGATCTTTGCCGTCCTTGACGGTTTTGGTCACGAGCCCGGAAAGCGGAAGGGCGGCATCAACTCGAGCCGCGAAGTCGGACAACTTCTCTCCGGGGCGGATGGTTGGCATCTGGGGGTTTGTAGAGCCGGTAGGGCCGGCCGTTGAGGGTGTCGCCTTTGCGCGTTTCTTCGATGGGGTAGAGCCGTCATCTAGACCAGATCTGGGCTTCTTGCCCTGGGCGAAGGACATTAGGCGCTTAAAGGCACGCGGAGCATCGTCGGGGTCGCGACGAGCCTTGCGCTTCTTGGGGCCTGTCGCAGACGAGGTCTTTGCACTGGCATCTTCATGTTTGCGGCTACGGTTGACAGGCAAAGGTTTCGCGATCTGGGATGGAGGCAAATCGAATCTAGAGGCCGTGTGTTAATGAATGCTTATGCGACAAGGAATAGAGGAAGCACAAACGCTGATGGATCATGGTCTCTTCTTGTATGTTTGTGTGGCATGGTGTAAGCAATTCGAGAGCCGACACGGGTACTACGTCCTCCGTGACCGCGCCTGCCAAAAATATAATAAAATGAAAATAAAAAGAAAGAAAAGACAAAAGGACAAAAAGGTCTGCAAATTTCAAATCGGAGAGCAGAGGTTCAATTTTAGTCTAACAAGCACCGATATGGAGCATCAGGATAATGATCATGATAGTGGGGCAAAAATTCTAGGTCAAAGGCGGTGAGATTGAGAATTCGAGGTCGAAAATGGGTGGTGGTCCATGCGCTTGCTCGCGTGAACTTCGGAGTATGTTAATACTCCACAACGGTCATTTATCTCACTTGACGGTACGTACCCTGTCCTGTGATGGGATCTGGTTTCACGAAGTTAGGAGGTGACGACGATTTTGATCTGCTGGCCAGAGGCTTTTCGTCGTGCACCCACATGCTGCAAGATAATTATCACCCGAAATCCGGCTGCCTATCAAACGTACTCGTGCACGACCATGGTCTCTGACTCGCACATTATGGCCATGAATTACGTACGATATCATGGGCCGCAAATCACATGGACCCTCGCATCCTACTCCGATATCACTAGAGAGAACCGGTCACAGATGGCGTATGGTAAATTTGTACCACTAAAGCGGCCTCGTGTAGATGAGGCAGCAAAGGGGGTCCGGGAAGTACGGGAAGCAGGAAAACTTACATCAGTATATCGACCATCGAGAAAGAGGGGCTGTGAAAGGCCAGACTGAGCTGTGCTGGGTCCTGGATCTTCGCCTTCTCGCTCCCCCGGAACGACCGGGGAACCCTGGAATGGTCGAGTCCAAGAAGCATTTAGACAGCAAAACACGGCCTGCATGTCGGCCAACGGCACAACTCAACCCGACCCTGATCCCCCCTATCACAGTACCACGTGTTGCACCGATTCGCGAGTTGAGGTTGCGCTTCCATTGTGATATTGTACATTGGACAGAAGCTGCCTCGTGCGAATAGTTAAGCAGGAGGACGAGGACTATCCGTTTGATAGATGGTATGGTGATATTTTGCTTTATTAATGTAGATATTTCCCGTACCCCCCACTATTCCATCTTCACATCTTGGGTCGAGCGATGTATATGGATGGGTAGCCTTTTCACTTTGGACGTTGTCTGCTCCTCGTTTGCGAGCGCAGTACTGTTCCTCGCAGAATCTTTCTCCTCGACTTCCTCTCCGGGTTCGCTATCGGCGTTCTACGGGCCTCGCGGGCCTCGAATATGTGGTGGGATTCGGCTCAGCCCGACACAAGTCCTTCGGACCCTATCTTCGTGGTTTGAGTCTGCCCAGCATGCCACCCTTGGCGGCTTTTTTTCAGCCGGTGCAGCGCTCTCTTAGATTCCCTCCTTGGTATCGCCAACCCCCTGAGCATATCAACGATGGCAACGGCAGGCCGGGCGACGTGAAGATATACGAGCCCCTCGTCTCAAAAGCCATAGATGTCGAAGAGGCTGAAATCGATCGCCTGATTTTCACCGACCCAGGCTTCAGCGCACTGCCGCGGAAGCCTCGGAGGCCACGGTTCTTCCCAAGTTGCTTTGCTTGCGTGGTGCTGGTGTAAGTGAAGTTTCTCAACTAACCCTCGCGGACCCTGTCCATAGTTCCTATATGGTGAGGTTGGCATCAAACTTACCGTGAGAGAACGGGTTGTAGGCTATTCTTCTGCATGCTGGGGACCGGAGTTCTACTATTCCGGAGGCTTCTCAGACACAGCACCGTGTACGTCTACCTCTATAATGAGGATGTCATACCAATCCCGTGTCATTCCCATAACGACTACTGGAGACAAGAGCCAGTCTTCACCGCTCTGCGAGCGGGTTGTGTTAGTATCGAAGCCGATGTGTGGCACCTGGGGCAGGAGGAACTCTATATTGGCCACAGGATATGGGAGCTGCGCGAAAGTAACACCTTTACCCGCATGTACATTGATCCTCTGGTCAAGCTTCTCGAGGAGAAGAACAGCGCGTTGGACAATGGGCTGAACACGACGGCCCGCGGAGTGTTTGATATGAACCCGTCACAGACCTTGGTCCTCCTGGTGGATCTAAAGACGAGGCCAGAACACACATGGCCGGTAGTGGTCCGGCAACTCGAGCCGTTGCGACGACGGGGTTGGCTCAGCTCCACCACGGACGGGCATGTCCGGTACGGCCCAGTTACCGTGGTTGGCACAGGCGAGACCGACTTTGGATTGCTGATGCAGAACTCTACGTACCGCGACTACTTCTTCGATGCGCCCATCGACGAGCTAGAGGGCTCCAGTTTCGGCGTCTGCAACTCGTACTACGCGAGCCAATCGTTCAGTGAAGCCATCGGCTGGGTATGGTTAGGCAGCTTATCGCGAAGCCAGCTAGATATGCTGAGGAGGCAAGTAGCTGAAGCGCACAGGCACGGCCTCAGAATACGGTATTGGGGGCTGCCATCGTGGCCTATCAGTGTGCGGAACCATATCTGGGGCGTACTCATCAAGGAGGGAGTCGACATGATCAACGTCGACGACGTCCAAGGGGCCGAGAGAGTGTGGAAGGCGATGGGTTGGCCGACGCTGCAGAACGCAACTCTTCCAAGCCAACCATGCCCGGAAATGGAGGGGCGGGAGGTAAACTCTTCAGCGTCGGGCCGTCCGGGCTGCAGGAGGTCTGCATGATGCTTCTGCTTGATGGTTTACCTTGGCTGGGACGACGGAATGGGGGCCAAACAGATGGGGGCCAATCTCCAAAAGCGTCATCGGCTAGGGGAGGCTGCAGCGATAGACATCCGTGTCTTCGGTGGCAGACGTTTAACAGGCAATTACCCACTCGGTGCGCTGGCGAGTCGCATCCTGGGAGAAACAGGCAACCCGATCCACTTCAGACCATTGCGGATTGCTCTGTACGTATACCTATCCGTACCGACCACGATACCTGATATACCTAGACTCCATTCTATTTGTCTTCTTTTGCTGGAAGTACGAAGTAGCAGCGAACCAAAATGAGGGAACTGCGACTTCCTGCTTTTAATCCGAAGTTGAAAACGATGGACCTATGCGTGGAGAAATCCGTACATGGTATACCTTTGGTAGTGATGACCGATGACCGCAATACTGACGAACCATTGGTATGCCCCGCACGGGGCTACTACGACGTACGTACAAAGTATACATAACGTACGTACTGTGTTCATCACGACGGGAGGGAGACAACAACTGAGTGATACATGCATATGCTCGACCTGCAACATCACGACTGCAGTCAGATAGCTTAGACACTTACAAACTCATATACAGTACGTAACCCCACGGGCTCCGCCGGCTCCTGTCTCCTGTCCTTGCTAACCAACAACAAAGCAGTATTCCGTTTATACGTACCTGACCCCAGATTCCACACCACCTGTAGTTCGTACCTTATCTGAACCCGGGGAAGTGACGTTTATATTGCCGGTGCAATGAGGTCAGACCTTCGCATACATATATGTACTCAGTATGCACTTCGTGAAATGCCCACGCTTACGATACGCGGCCCAACGCCCTCGAGAGGCCAATATCTGACACCTGGGTCATCTGCCACGCCACTTGGCTTTCAACTTCTCACCAACAGCATAACCTGAGTGCAACTATGCATCTCCATTCACTGTAATTGGTCAAGGAGAAAAGGAAAATAACAGTCAGGATTGTCAGGATTCAGCAACTCATCATGACAACAGACGGAGGACTTGCCACCTTGGATGTGAGTTGGACATTGTTCTCTCCCTTGTTTTCTCAACATCCATCTTCCTCATATCTCCTCCCCCACTCTTGCTAAACTGCCACCTAACTCCACGACCAGTCGTCCATGGCCGATCGCCTGCCCGAGGTGAGCCAACATCTATTCCGGGCCAAGGCCATCAAAGGAGTGTCGTTCGAGGACATGGCCAAGGCCCTAGGCATAAGCGAGGTTGCCGTGGCAGGCATGTTTTACGGCCAGGTCCAGGCGTCCGCGGACGACGTCGTCACGCTCTCCCATCTACTGGATTTGACTGAGGAGAGCCTGGCCCCCCTGATGCGCTTTCCCGACCGGGGCCGCGCAGGACCCATGCCCCCCGTCGAACCCCTCATCTACCGCCTCTATGAGATTGTCCAGAACTACGGCTATGCATTCAAGGCTGTCTTGAATGAGAAGTTTGGCGACGGTATCATGAGCGCCATCGCATTCCGGACATATGTCGACAAGGAGGTAGATGAAACGGGGAACCCTTGGGTGGTTATCACCCTGAAAGGCAAATGGTTCGTTCAGTCCCCAAATCTCCCTCCCTATCTCCATTGCCCCAACGAGGCTAATTCTGCCCTTCAGGCTTCCTTTCACTCGGTTCTAGACAGTCCACACTTCGACCATGATGAAGGCCACGAGGGTACGTTATATGACCATTATGATAATAGCTTCTAGTAGCCAGGTCTGCTTTGCCCTGCGTATATCCACCATTTTTTGTATGGAGTTCACGAGCCACAGCAACACACCTGGTCACCCAAGGGAGACATACATAATTTTATGGGACCAAAGGAAGTTGGGCATGGATTTCCCCTCCAGGCCAGAATATACGCAGAAGGAATCTTTGATATCACCTCGGTCTTATCGTGCGAATATCCTTTTGAGTCCAATGCTCTGGGCTGTGGGGGCACCATGGCCGAATAGGGGCGGATCAAGGGCGGTGCGGAACAATGCTAAGATCAGGAGAACAATACAAAGACGGGTACCCCCCTTAACGCTAGCCATCACCATCTCCAACACCTTGGACACACCCAACACACTACCATATCTCCGGATTTCTTTTTTCTCCGTTTATGTCTCATCTTTGACATGTCTCAAAGAATTGGCCACCAGATATGTTCGAGAAGGGTAGCTGTACAAGGACAAGGTTTGATGCGATGCCGCCAGATGCTTGTCGCCCCGCGACCCACAACCGGCCTCAATGGTTCCTCGAGAGACGACAATATCAAGGTTATCATGCTGGGAGACAATAGCACGTATGATGGCCGGATCAGTGCCTCTGCTACGACACGCCCCCGTCCCATTGTGCGTGTCCTCTATCCAATCACAGCAGAATCTGAGGCGAGCCTCGAAGCTGCCCCTTCCTTCCATTCCAATATTGCCTTTTTTTGGTGTCGAAGATCTTGAAATCATTGTCCCAGTTTGAGCATAAAGTGCCCTTCACCTCCCGTCCAGATGACCTTTTCCTTCCCATCTCACTACCACCAACAAGCTCAACAAACAATCATCCTTCCAAATCCCAACCCGCCTCTTCACAAGAACCCCAAGGTCTAAACCCCTTTACAACCCATCAAAATGCCTGCTCCTCAGTCCAAGAAGACCCAGTCCAGCAAGAACGGTGGCGGCGACTCCGGTTGCACTATCATGTAAACACCCTTCATAATAAGGTCCGCCCTATACCCCGAAAGTCCTCGAGAAGCCATCGCCACCCGAACCTTCAAGCAACCTTCTTCGACTCCATCGGGGCACGGGGTCCCATGAGACCGCTGTCACTCCTGTCAGGCGCGGACATGATGGCAGCCCGACAGGCTACTCTTTGATACAACTGTCAACAAATACTCGATCGACATTCGTTTCATTCCATCAACAGTATACTCGTTTACTTAAACCGGCGGACACAACTCTAGCCTCGCCACCGTTCCGGAACACTTTTCCGGTGGCAAAGCAGACAAGAAATCAGGCGGTCTCCTGTGTTTCTATTTTGAACAGGAAACATCACTGGCGAACTCTTGCAGCAGATCAACTTGGGGATCATCGGCCAGACTGAACTATGGATGGTCGGAACCACTGCTCGGATGATGGGCTATTTAAAGGTTGGGAATCATTAGTATAGAATTCTCAATAAATGTCCATCAAGTCAATACTCCTCTTCCGCTCTCTGCTTCCGCTTGAACGATAGTGTGCCGCTTCTATGTCTTGGGCAAGTATATTCTCCATCAGTTTCTCACGAAGCCAATAAGTTGTTTTTCTGATATTCGACACACACACATCCCTCCATGTAAAAATATACACGTGACTTTCAGTGTTAATGTCTCTTGGTCGTGGTGTTGGTAGCCATGGGATCGTTCGGACAAGAGCAGCATCACTTCGAAGTTCAGTTCCAATGAACTAACTACCCCTTTGCAGTGAGCCGCCAGATGATAACTGCTCGTGTGGAGAGCCTACCTATGTAGCTGTAACGTAGAATTACCAAGTATGGGTAGCATTCCCAGTATGATTTAAATGCCAGGGAACATCAAATCCATGGTCTCACTTTGGATCAGGACGTTGCAGATGAGGGACGGAAGCGTGGATGAGAGAGTTCGGAAGGGACCTAGGTGTGCAACTCAACGGAAACCCCTATATACGCATATTGGATAGAACAATCGATGTTTTAGATTGTTATCAGAGACATTTCACACCGCCTTCCCATTAAGGCGGGTCAATGGCAGAAAAAGTTCATCCCAGAACGACTTGAATTTTCCTGGCTAGGTCCCCACCACGAAGGTCTTCAGTACTCGTAGTCGATGTTTTATGTGTTGCGAACAAACAACTTCGACAACCCCTAAACCAACCAAAACCGAAGAACACAATGGGCCGGAGTGCATTGAAGCTAGCATTGGCGGCCGAGAAGGGGAAAGACCCTCGAGAGAAAAAACTAAAACGTCAGCTCAAGCAGAAGAGGCGGGAAAAGGAGAACAAGAAGAACCAGGGCGTCCAACCAGTCGACGATGATGAAGTGGAGGACGAAGATGATGCTTCCAAGGTTGACGAAGAGGAAGGCGGTGCAGCTCTAGCTCGGTCTGACGACGAAGGAAGCGAGGATGACAGTGAAGGCGAAAGCGAAGAGGACAGCAGGGTAAGAAGTCAATTCCCGGCGCGGAAGACCGTTCTTCTCAGTTCCCTAAGCGGCTAACAGCTCTCCTCTCCTCATTCTCTAGCGTGTGGATATTGAAGCGCTCAATGACACGGATAGCGATTCGGAATCCGACATCGAGATGGAAGAGAAGATTGTGCGGCCGAAAAACGACCCCCCTAAAGGACTAGCACCGTCATCGCGGAAACGCAAGGCACGAGAGGCCGAAGAGGCCGAAGACGACGAAGACGACGAAGACGAGGAGGACGACGATGAGGAAGACGAAGCCATTCCCCTTTCCGACCTCGAAGGTGACGAGCGCGAAGACATAGTCCCCCACACCAAGCTCACCATCAACAACAAAGCCGCCCTCAACGCCTCCCTCGCCCGCATCGCCATCAACACCTCCGCCTCCGTTCCCTTCGCGACCCACCAATCCCTCGTATCCGAAAAGCCCACCGCCGAGGCCGTTCCCGACGTAGGCGACGACCTGAAGCGCGAGCTCGCCTTCCTCTCCCAGTCCCTCGACGCCGCGCGCCGCGGGCGCTCGCTCCTCATCCGCGAAAAGGTCCCCTTCACCCGGCCAGGGGACTACTTCGCCGAAATGGTCAAGGACGACGGCCAGATGGAGAAGGTCCGCGCCAAACTCGTCGAGGAGGCAACGGCCAAAAAGGCCGCTGCGGAGGCGCGCAAGCTCCGCGACCTCAAGAAGTTCGGCAAGCAGGTTCAGGTTGCCAAGCTCCAGGAGCGGCAGAAGGCCAAGCGCGACACTCTCGAAAAGATCGACTTGCTCAAGAAGAGTACGTTACGCTCTCTTTTCTTCTCACGTTCCTGCTTTTTAGTGTTGCCCCCGTCTCCTCTCACTTGGACCCCTAGCTGTACCTGCGCCCCTCTTTTTTTTTTTTTCGTTCAAATGCCCCAAACTACTTGCTGTCTCCTGAACCCTCGTTCTTCGTATCCTTGACTAATTTCCTCCCCACTCTCGACAGAACGGCAAGAAAACGGCACCTCCAACCTCGACACCCACGAGGGCGACATCTTCGACGTCGCCGTCGACAAGGAGCTAAAGGGCTACAACCCCAAATCCGGTTCCGGGCGTGGCCGGATGGAACCGAACCGGAAGCGGCAGAAGAAGGACGAGAAGTACGGCTTCGGCGGCAAGAAGCGCAATTCCAAGTCCAACGACGCCGTCAGCTCCGGCGACCTAAGCGGCTTCAACCCCAAGAAGATGAAGAGTGTCGCCTGGGGCGGCGTCAGCAAGACGAAACCGACGGCCAATCGGCCAGGGAAGAATCGTAGGAAGGCTATGGCGAGTAAATAAACAACGGAAAGGGGGGGAAATGCCTTATGCCGGTGGTCATGTATGAGACAAGAAGAGAGTATCCAACGAGGAATAAATACCCCGGGTCTGTTCGTCTGTCCGTTTATCTTAGTGCCTGCGGTCCGTCTTCTCTTTCTCCCTGTTCATTCGTAGAGCTTGTCGTTTCCCGTCGTAGGGAGGAGGCTATTGCGGACTGCGACCTTTGCCATTTGTCTTACTACTGTCCTCGAGACCTGGTCAAGTCAAAAGTATGAAAATAACACTCTATCTTGCTCAATGAGCTCGCATATGACTATGGCAATGGTAGCATGGGGCGATGGAAGGTGTGGCAAAAACTAGCCCTCTCACAGCATGGGTCCCCCCAAGTCATGGAAAGCCTGGCATTATACCTGATCACATCATAACAATACGTACATCATTCAAGTCTAAGAAGGCTTGACCGAAAGCTGTGCTGGAAGCATCAACCCCAGCATCCTGTATCGACGTTTCGCCAAGTCCTAGCCACGTCCTAACCAGGCCCCTTTGGGATATAGGGGCGATGCAGCGAACCAATGTCCCGACTAACACGTGCACATATCGCCTCTTCCTCTCGCCAGCCGCCCCACGAAGCCTTCTTCAAAGGCACGTCCTAACTTAAGCACCTATCCACCATTCCATCCCAACCGCTTGAAGAGTGCAAAGTTCGTCTCGAGTCGCTGATGTTGTGAGAATGCGAGAGAATGCTCAGCCATGACGTGAAATGGTCTTCCTCTCGAACAAAAAAGGAGAGGCTAAATGGGGGAAAGCACCGATATTATTGACCGTCGTTCGTCGCCACGAACACCCGTCTTTGGTGTCGACGAGGCAAAGCGATGCCAGTGTGTCGGATCTTGGAAACCAGGGACCACGAGCATCGACATTGGATGTCTTATTATATAGACAGTCCAGTCGGGATGTAGTTGAGTAGTCCCGCCATAGAGGTGCTCGAGTACCGTCTTGAGGCACTGAAAATCACCGTCGACGAAAAGAAGCCAAAGAAAAAAGACGGAAAACCCAACCGAGGTAATGTGCTGTCCATGAGAGAATCCGGTGCAAAGGGAAGCAACCAACCAAGCAACCAAGCATCGTGCATTGCTAATGCCGAGAGAAAGTAAAATGAAAAACCGTGGTATCGAGGACGCCGTACAGATGAAAAACGCTTCTGCTGTCCAATGCAACGCTAGCCGAGCGAGAGATGGGAGGTTGGGAAAATCGAACATTACGCGCTGTTGCGAACGACGATCGCCTTATAATGCGTTGTGGAATGCGGTCCATGGCATCATGGAGATGCGGCCACGCACCAGTGGCGGTGGAAAGCCCACGCACTCTTCTGGCACTCTTTGCTGCAGTACTTGGTACGCCGACAGCGCCGGCACTTGGCGAACTGGCGTGTGTATTCTTCCCACTTCCCACACTTATAGTAGGCACACTGGCGGATACCGCCTCTGGTGTCGTCCTTGCGGCACAGGTTCCTCATGACGACGCCTGCCCAGTACTGCATATCCGGGCTGTGATGTCGCACGGTGAACTTCTCGACCAAGGGGAAGATGTTGAAGTCGTTTGGCAGGAGGAACTCTTCTTCCATCTTTTCCTCGTCTGGCTCGTCGAGGACTGATTCGTCGCCGTCCAGGTAGCGCAGCTGCTTGCCAATCTTGAGCCTGGGAACCAGATGGCTGTTTTGGAAATAAGATCGCAGGCCGCAATATTTGGAGACGTAGGCAAGAAGTTGGAGGGACATCAAGACGTCCTCTTCACGCGGCATGCATGCGATGATCTGGGCATTCGGGACAAAGTGGCGGTCGAGAAGATAGCGGGGGACGGAGGCATTCGGCATGGATGGTTGGGTGGGAGGCATCATGGTGGGACGGTTGGGTGAGAACCCCATTTGGGGAACGGGAGGGGGAGCGGTGTTGTTGGGGATGGTGAGATCAACGGATCCGACACGGTGGGTGATGTTGAAGGCGCCAGTGTCCTGGGTCTCGGAAACGGTGGGAGGAGAGAGCTCGATGGTGGCGGATCCCGGGAGCATGGCATTGCTTTCTTCCATGGTGATATCCTGAATATCCACAGCCGCCTGCTCGTCGGCCCTGTCAGATATTTCGGCATCGGGCGACTCGTCCGACTGCGCGTCGTCTCCAATCAGGTCATCGGAGTCTTGCGTGGAGTTTTGATGCCTGATGGAGGGCCGACGGCGGGACGGCGGGCTGGCGACGATATTCTGATGGATGGAAGGGAAACGCGCGTGGGATGGTGGAAGAGGCGTGGTAGGGGATGTCGGTTGTGAGGTCAGACCGACAGGTCCAAACATGGAGGCGAGACGATCAACAGCGTCATGAACTGGTCGTCCAAAGGCATCGACGGCTTCGGTCGGAGCCAGCGGCGGAGTGGCTGCGGTAAGCGGCTGCATCATTGGGCGAGATGCGGAGGCAACGGAATGGCGCGACTCGACAGCCCTGGCAAAGTGCGGGAAATGAGGTTGCTGGTGATGATGATGGTGGTTATGGGTATGGGATTGATGGAGATGAGAGGTGAGGCCAAACCGTTCGGCTTGCGTGAGACGAGGTGCCATTGGGGTAGGAGTCAAATCGCCATCTTGACCATCAACGGCGGCAGCGGACGAGGGACCAGCGTAAGGTGCCGATACGTCGATGGACGGAGGCGGGGCTTGTCTTCTGAAAGTCCTCTGCTCCGGCTCGAACCGGCTGGGCCGATTGGCGAAAGAGGGAGCCTTGGGGGAACTGCGAGGCTCGAGGCTCCGATGGCGATTCTCCTTTTCTTTATCTTTGGCTTCTTCGGCCTTTTCGCGGCATTTTTCAATGACCTTGAGGTAGTTGTCCAGAATGGTGGCAATGACAGGCACCATGTCGGCCTCGACGACGCGGGTACGGACATTCTCGGTGCCCCGAACACCAATGTTGACGACGCATTGGAAAGCCAAGTTCCATTTCCACATGTCCATCATATCTTTGGTTCGGCCGCGCTTGAGGATGGTAACGAGACGTTCGATGCCGCCATCGACGGTTAGAATGTCGCGGATGCGGGCGGATGAGGTGGTGAGATAGGCGAGATGGTTGAGTGAGTTGATCAAGGGCAGGGTGGATGTGCAATCGAGGGCGCGGCGGTCGTACAAGGCGGTGGTGATGCCCACCGACGCCTTGTTGACGTTTGGGATGCTGAAGTTAACTTCACGCATCGTGGGCAGTGTCGGGATATCCGATACCCGATGATCGAGATGCTGAAGCTGAAGTGTGATGGTTGGAGAATCACTGTTCCTGCGTAGCGAACACGAAGGTAATGTGAAAATAGAAGAAAAAAAGGGTTGGTACGATGCAGATCACGCAAAGTGGCCGCGATGACCCTGGGTCTATGAAGATGGGGGGGGAATGTTATGCAAGAAAGAGGTCGACCAGAGTACACTAATTGCAAAGATGTGGTCGGCCGAAGATGGGAAATGGTCGAAAGTAAAGAATATGTGTATTGTGAAAAGAGTGTTCGATGGCGGTGGTGGCGAGGTCGTCGACAGACGGGGGAGGCGGTGGCGGCGGGTGTCCGAGCCCAGAAAACAGGGGGAAAATAGTGGAGGAGCTCCAACTTTTGGGGGGTGAGGGAGGGAAAGTATTCGTAGGAGGAAAGTAGGGGTATCCCGCCAAGCCCCAAAAGCGAAAGCAGCAGCGGATATGCGTACGTACTCGGAAGGCCTAACGGGAAAAGAAAAAGGGAAGGAGATGAGAGAGGCGGAAAGAAAAAAAAAAGATGGTAAAGAGAAGTTGAGAAGTCGACGAAAGCTGCTTGATACAGTGGTGTTTCAGGCCCTGCAACGCAGGCTGGGACCAAGAGCGGAGTCGAGCCTAAAACCGAAATGCCTCAGGCGGTACACTGTATTACCGGTAATCTGAATCTGGTAAGTTGGTAATCACATTTTCAGGTAATCGGTGAATCAGGTAATCAGGTATAGTGTACCTCTGGGCGTGCGTGGACCACGGCACAGAGCGGCAAGCTCACGAGCTGATGTTCTGAGGCAGCGGTTGAAATCTCACCCAGACCGTAGGAGGACAAACGTGCGAATTACGCAAGTCCCGATTAGAACGCAAGATGCAAATTTAGGTTGTATCTGTAAATAAAGTCGAGGTGGATCAACAACGGAGTACTCGAATTCGTTCAGTGTTCACTGGTAACAGAGAGAAAAGGGCAAAGTCCCTGAAATGCGTAGGCGCCTGACTTGGTCTGGGCCAGGATTGGTTCGAGGTTGGGGGCTGAAAAGGGTCTCTCCTGGTGGGTTCAGCCCCGTCAGTGTGTGGATTGGCGAACGGCGATGTATGAAGTACTTCGTACTCCCGCAATTCGGACTTTGTAAATAAGGTAGTAGGGACCTGGGTCCTACGGATGATACGAGTCGAAAATGTGCCGAAATCGACCAAAGGATAAGGCAGATGCCATACCTTAGGTACGTACGTAGAGAGTAATTACAAGGCACTCCGTAACTAAGGCACCTTACCGACCTAAAAGGAGCTGGAAGCTTAAAACGGTTATACGGTTTAGTTTTGTCACGAGTGAATAGGTACCTAGGTACCTACGTTGTTTAGCCCTGCCGCCGAAATTCGGTGACCACGCTATGGCTGGGGCGAACCTTGAGTTTGTTGAGTGGAGCTTGGGAAATAACATCCCGATACATAAATACCGAAAACAACGCGGGTGCAGTCGACATATGCGCAATTGCATATGGGCGGTGTCGGCAATATTACGATGAGGTACAGGGAATAATACAGGTACCTGATAGAAGGACGGCTAAGAATCCGGATTCTGCCCCCCCGCCCCGCGGTATTTTAGACTTCACCGTGGAGTTCTGGTCCGACGGTCCATGTTCATCCGAGTCCCTCCCTGTCGGCTTGTCTCGCGGCTGCTCACCTCCAGAACTCCATAGGGGTAGGCAATCAGTTGATGAGTCTGGCGTGATCAAGTCCGGCGATTGATGCACCGGAACTGGATATTACGTAGCTACCCCGTCTTTCCCTTCCAGGTTGGGAAGTTGGCTGGCTGATGTTCAAGAGTGGCTTCCCCTTGGACACCATTGTGCCATGCTAGGGCTAGGGAAATGCGTTTTTAAAGTCCCATGATTTCGGAACGCCACAAAGACGGGCCCGTTTCTCGGCTTTGCCTTGCTGGTCTCGTCTTTTTCCGGCTCGACCCAGACGGCAATCCGTATTTCTCGGACTACAAGGTATGTACTTGGTGCTGAACCCCTTTTTCTACTCCGTACACGTGTAGAAATCGGCCACGCTAGCTGTGGAACGAAAGGGTCTGGTCTCGTCGCGAACAAAAGGAGAGAAGTAATTACGTGCTCCGTAAGTGGACGAGCTAATAGCTGCGAGTCCACGGTTCGCGGCGGATTTTCCCTAGCCTAGCCCTCGTCAGTGGCTAACTTGGTAGCCAGACGCTAAATTAATTATTATTAGGACTCTCCGTAGGTATGATTACGCGATAGTCGAGTAAATAAAGCTGACACTCCCACGTACTACGTGTATGATTGGGGGATTCGTGTCCCTTTTCTCCGGCTTCGAGCGTTTCCGTTTTCAACGATTTTGCCCATTACGTCAAGGTTGGTTGATCGGTGCCTCCCGTCTTGGTGGTGTCTGTTGTCAGGTGCCCATAGCCACCTTTTCCTAATAGTTAGACATCCCCGTGAAGTACCACGAACTTCACTTAGACGAATACACATAATTCCGAGTACCTTTATTTATGTTCTGACATCTGTCTTGCGCATCTCAGACATGCATATAATACGTATATGTACCTACTCGAAACAAACAAACCACGTCCCTTTTCAGTCCTGCCGCTGAGGTTTGATAACCTGGCCATCTCTCATCTCCACTGCCACCTATCCGTACACCGCTAATCTGCTCATAACATTCCGCTGTGTCAATGGCAATGCCCGTAGACCTCGTGATTCATGCATCGCTCAATAACTTGGACTCCCACAGCCTTGAGTCTCAGAAAGCCTTGGGTCTCAGAACTTCGCACGTCACTGGGTTGACACGAGTACTCCGTTCCCAACCACCTAGTACCTGGAAGTTCAGCTCTTCCTCCCTTGGTTCC